GGTCATTCATCGCCAAATTCACTATAATAATGAGCTTTTGGAAAGAAATGAAACGTAGAAAAGAACTTATTTAAATAACACAAACATTTCCTTCTTCATTACACTCATGCAAATAGGACCACAGGGAAGAAATGGTTAAATGGACGCTGTGGATTGGAAGGCTGAGATGCAAGTACTCTATGTCCTCTTTAAAATGACATATTGGCACTTTGCATCTTTCTAAAAAATAATTTAGGGAACTATATGAGATAGATTTATGGTTCAATATAGAAACATGCTTTTAAAATTCTGTGTAGCATATGCTAGATAATTTGCACAGTTTTGGGGGAAATATGGTATGTCTGAGGTAGCTCAAAATCATTATTATTCAATTGATAAATAATTGAATTTGATGTACAAAGTACGTTTAAAGATACCAATGAACATGTCTAAATGTTCTCTGTAAGTATCAAATACACTGCCTACAGTAATTTTGTGCATTATCAATTAAAAGCATTTTATAATAAAAGTTATCTTTTCAGCTTATAAAAATTAACCTCAAATTTAGATATATATTTTTATTTTTCCTAAGTTGAAGATATTATGTATTTATTACTCTACTCAAAATATGTTTTCCTGAACTCAAGATATTAGATTTTCTTTCATGAAGCAAATATTTATTGTGTATCTGGCTTGTGCCTTGCATAATGCTAGACACTAGGGATACAGTTTTGAACAAAACAGACATAATGCAATGTAGAACCAGTTAAGATAAGCTATAGAATGTTTACGGAAAAATATGTTCATTCTTTAATTTCATCACAATATAATTTAAAATTAGGAGCTACAATAGAAGATAACTGATCAATATTGGTTGCAAGTTCCATGGTACTTATTTTTTTCCAGCTCAATTTAACTAGCATTCGTTGAGTAACTATTGTTCAGGGTTTGATGCTATAACTACAACACTGAAAAAATATACCTGCCTTCATAGTGTTTAATTTAATATTTCAGTTACAAATTGTGGGCTATATATGTTAAATTTAATATATTGGAGGGTATGGTCTACAATTACTTTTTTTTTTTTTAAAGCTGAGCCATCTTGCTATCTGTTGGCAGCTTAGCGGCAGCTCAGCTCTGGCCAGGAATCGAACTGCTGTTGCTCAGGGCTCACACTCTTGAGTGAGCTCTTAACCAACTGAGCCACTCGGCCAGCCCTACAATTACTTTAAATACAAAAAGATTCATAACATTTTTACTTTACTTGCATGGATTAGTCTAGTAGGAAATGTTTGAGACACAAACATATTTAAGTGTTTACTGGACTTTTTTTCATAGAATGTCATGTTTAATATTATCTTACTGTATTTTACCATGACATTTATTAAAAAGACACAGTGATGTTTTGTGAACTTGCTGGAAATATTTTTATATAATACAATAAAATTCATAGTAGCTTTTTTTCTACCAATTGTTCCAATAACCAAGAATCTATTTGTGTCTCTCTTAATTTACTCTGATATATGTCCTGGAGTAGAAGTGACATGCAGTGGAATGAGATTACCTTGAGTTTACTTACTTATTCATCATTTCCTGAGTCTTTTCATTCTCTCAGACTATATACATTTTGTTTGAATATCAGTTAAAAGTGTGCCTCATTTGCTTTTCCTGCTTAGAATTAGAAATTGTCTTTCTGTCATGGTTTTAAAATGTATTAATCACTTAATTTTATGTTAGTGGAAGGGACTTTCTTGGTGTAACACAGATGATACCTTCCAATAGATCTTTAATAACACTTATAGAAAGTTCCCCTGTTTTTGTGTTAGAAAAGATAGATCTATGTATAGCCAGACATTTTTCTGGTGTCTTCTTGGATAAATATCTTCCCAAGCTGTTCTCATTTTCTAATCCCTGTCCCTCTTTTTTAATAAAAAATATAATCAAGTCTCTATAGGCAACCAAGGCAGAAACATTAGGTATCGCTTTGTCCAATAAATAATCTATGTCTCTATCAACTTTCTTATAGGGCAATACCTTTCCCTAGAAGCTTCTTAGTCCAGAAATAAATCTAACTGAATATTTCCCAACAAAAGCATATTAAATATTTTAAAATCATATAAAGTTATAAAACCAATGTAAACTATACAAATGAGTAAATGCAATTTTAACATTATTTCCTGAAATATATTTACATAATCAAGTCCATCAAAAGAAAAATGTAAAATAAAGTATACAGTAAAACTCTGTCAATGTCAATAAAATACAAAGTTTTTGATTGTAGGGTTTGACATTCAACAACACAATCAGATCTAAGCCAAACATAAAGAAAAAAAAACTAATTTCAGGGAAAATGCACACATACATGAATAAAGTATCCATCATTAAATACTAAAAATGTATAAATCCTCTTGACCAGAATTGCTAGCAGATGTTTGGTTTTGAATTTAGGATGCTAAAAGTGCCACCCAGATTGATCATGATTATAGTCTTAATTTGAAATTTGAACATGTAAGATTATACTTGAATTATTATTGCCTCCTTTCTCAATCCTTTTTGAAGTATTAACCAAGCTCTTAAACAAAATATTTCTAAGAAACAAATGTAAATATTGTAATGGATTAATACTATTGAAGAAAGATTTGATGAGATTATTGTTTAGTATAATATAATCTGAGTCTATTTGAAAATTTGGGAATAGGAAGTTAGGGAGGGATACTGTGTCCCTTCATTATAAACGATTTGAATTAAAATGTGACTCTGGAAAATATAGACCCTTTCTACAGTGTTTGAGCAAGTGGAAATTTTTTTAAGTAGAAATTTTCCAAATGCGGACTGAAAAATAACCTTTATTTCCTGGATAGCAGTCAAAATATCCTTTCTTTGTCACATAATAAAGAATGATTCCTATAGCAGAAGAGCATCACCTAGTGTCTCATGAGAAAGCTATTAGTATGAGATTGTCACATTTCTTAGATAGAAACTTAATGTCAAACAATGTAAAAATCCATTTTCACAATCTTTCTTATGCCTTACATCTATCTCTCTTCTGCTTTGATGAAGGTTGTATGATTAGATCATGAAAAATAATGAACTGGGTTTTAGAAGTAGAAAGATTATCTAATATCTTTTCTTTATTTGTTTCCCTCACTTGAGAAAATGGAACCAATAGTCAGTGAAAGGCTTAATGATGGAAAGGGGAGTTATTTTAAATGTGGAAAATCCTGCAATGTCAAAATAAATCTGGAGGATTTTATATATGCAACACAAGGAGGCAATTTAGATGTACCTACCATTTTCATGTCCACAAATACCTCTTTCATGGAGACTCATGTTCCTTTCAATCTTATTTTGTTTTAATTATGTAACATCAATAGTTTATGTCCCTCTTTAGTTTGAGGTGACTCTTTAAAGTTTAGCCTAGGATACTGCACAAGAGAGATGATTTTTTCAAAACCACCCCATGGAAGACAGCATTGCTTATCCTCCCAATATCTGTGCTCGACTTCCTCATTACTAACACTGGTTGCTTGTTTGGATCTTGTTCAAGTATCAGTATGTTCACCTACATACTTGCTTCCTCAGCCTCACTTGCAGTAAGAATGGCCATGGCTATCCTTCTGGCCAATGATGTATAGACCTAATCCCCGAGGAGAGCATCGCTTTACAAATAGATAGTTGGAGCCTCTCTAGGAGGAAGTTTCTTGCTTGCTCTTCTTTCTTCACATGTCTTGAATACAGATGCACAATTTTAAAAGCAGCAGCCATCTTGTGCCTGGAGAGAATAAAGCCAACACACAAAGCAGGTTGTGGGTACTGTGGAGTAGCTAACCTAGTATCCACAACTGCCCTCTATAGGTTTCTTCTTATGTGAGAAAAATCATCCGTTGTCTATTTAAACTATTATTAATTGGGTTTTTATTACTTGTAACTGAGTGCTTTATAGACTGATGCATGATTTCTCTTAATTTTGTTTTGTTTTGTTTTTTTAATTAAACAAGAGGGGGAAGTGTAGATATTGGGCAGGAAGATGCTATGTATATTTCTAACTAATTTCTTTAAATAATAAGAATAGTATTTTCAGAAGAAATATATACTTTTTTTAGGATAACTGAAAGCTACCTGGAAGAGAATTGATATATATGGTCAACCACTGTTCAGGAAGACAATTTACCTGGTCAAAGCCAGTGTTGTCAAAAGACAAATAAGTGTTAGTATATTTTATCTCATGGTCATACCATTGTCCCAGTGACCATAGGTTTTTTTTATTATTATATCTTGTGTTGTGTTGTTATTAAAGAATACTTGGCAATTCTATTGATTCTATTCAAGACAAAAAATATTTTTGTGATTGAAACATTCATTTTAGCTTCCATTTTGTGCTAAGTACTTACCTATTGACTCCAGTCAATGTCACATTGATTGAAATAATTTTTCTTAAGGGAAATTTGGCAACCTGTACCAAAAGTCTTAAAAATCTTCATACTCTATGGCCGTGTAATGTCACTTGTGGAAATTTATTTTAAAGAACTAATCCAAAATAAACAAGTTTAATGACCAGTTTAAGGGAATTGATTTTTTTAAAAATGCTGTTTAATTTATGCTATGATATATATATATATCATATTCTCACTAGAAATAATGTAGAATAGTATTTCACTATCATGAACGACTCACTACTTAACTTAAATCTAGAAGCTCATAAAACACTCCAATTTCAGAGGAGAAAACAAAAAAACAAAAACAGAAAAGTGTCTATAAAAAATGTTAAGAATGTTTTCTCTCTTAGTGTTTGATTGTGAGTGGTTGTTTTTCTTTGTAATTTGTTTTTCAAATTTCTAGCATCAGTTTATATGACTCAGTAAAATATATTTTAAAAGGTATCTTGGCTATTTAACAAGTAACTCTCATTTAATACTGAAAATAATTTAAGAGTAAGTCATTTTTATTAACTACCTTTTTATAAAAAGAAGTTTGACAACCAATCTGTTTGTTTGTTTGTTTGTTTGTTTGTTTGAATACAGAAATCCTAAACGGTGGAGTCTATGTAGACCAGAACAAATTTCTTTGTTACGCAGACACAATTCATTGGCAAGATATTGTTCGGAATCCATGGCCTTCCAACTTGACCCTGGTGTCAACAAATGGGAGCTCAGGATGTAAGTAGCATTACTCTTTTCAATGTCTCAAAATGTTCTACCTCTTGTGAAGATGAGCGGCTTTTATTTATCATGCCATTAATGATATTTTGAGTTTTGATTGCATCCACTGAAATGTTCAGTTACATATGACATGTATTTTACTTCTAAATAACTCTCGTTTTAGAATGATATTTTCCCTTTATAAATTATCATTAACATGAGCCCTTTTACCAAATCTAAATTACTTTACTGTTTTCCCAATGTCTAAATATGTAACCCATTGTCCATAAATTTAAGGCCAATGTATTACTACTACTTTAACTCTTTTGACCCATAATTCCCTGAGAAAAAGATAGTAGGATAAAATTCACCTTCCTATTCACTTTGATTTTTAAAAATAAAATATTATTGAACATTTTAAATGTAAGCTTTCATTTGCCCCTAAAACCGTCATGGTGATATTTTATGACAATCTCAAATACTATAAATATAGTGGAGAAATATAGATTTTTATATTGAAGAAATATGTGTTACATTCTGGTTTTAGTGAGCCTAATAAGCTACCCAATTTTCCATTCTTAAAATATATTGTTTCTACCACAGAGGATTTATCAGATTCAAAGTGTTTCATATGATTAAATGGTAAACAAATAATATTCAATCTATAATCAAAAACTTTGAAAATTAGTTTGCCAGAAATCTGTTTCATTTTCATAAAGCAGGCTATGTTGTCTCCCCATTTATTATTACTGACATTTGTATGAGAACAGAGTCTTCATCAAGTGCTAACCTGGGTTTTATATTTCCCATCTCTTATTATATATTTCCCACCTGAAATCAAAACTATCTTCACATAGTTCCATAATTATTTGAAATTGTACTGATTGTGTTATGACATTTTTGTAGGAAATCAAACTCCAAGGGACAATTATTAAGTTTCATGATGGTCCTAAGAATATAATGGGGAAATATGAATATATCTGATTCATACTGACAGCTGTGTTTTCAGTAAATGGCTAAAACTTTTTTTTTAAGTAGAGTAACATAATTTTCTTGTCACCACTGAGCAGAAATTTGTATGAAATTTCATCGTTACAGTGTTCAAGTTGCCTACTTCATAAAATTACATGTGAATAAAAAATTGAATCTGTTCATACTAACAAGGCAAATGATGTGCTTCAGAAATGGCTCGCATTTTCAGTCTGCTGAGATGTGGTACAATATATGGGGGAGATGCATAAAGGCTTGATACAAGGAAAGACCTACTGACTCTCAGCATATTAGAGTGACTAGCCTGTAATGCACAAACAAGATCAGGCAATATTAAAGCCCAAAACAGAAACCAAAGGGAAGTGTGTCCACCAGCCTCACAGGATGTGGAAGGAGAAAGGTGCGTTGCACTTTCACGTATGGCATCTCTTTTTGGAGCAAATTTGGATGGTTGTGCTTATAATTAGTCAACTGTAGCTATATTTGTTTGTGCATGCAAGTAATTTCAGTCATAAAATTTATAAATGCCAAGTAGAGTCATAATAAATGGTCCTGTGCAAGTTACCTATCAATTGCTTATCAAAGTTTTATTCTTTACATACTAGTTTTATTTGTTAACACATTATATATACTGTATGACACCATAGTTGATAATAATGAATCAACTGGTCTTCAAATATTGGTTTCCTATGGTTTTATCCTCAGTCAGATTCTTCCACTTTTTCCCTATGGGTGATCAAAGGTACTCTCATGGTTTTAAATGCAACTTCTACACCGATGGCCCCCATAACTACATGCCAACAACCAGCCAGTCCCCAAGTTAAAAATTTACAGGTCGTTATTGACTTCACCTTCTTGGTGTTTGGCAGTTATTTAATCATTAAATAGTGCTGAATTTGCCTATTTCCTGATTTTATATATTTCTTATTTCCATTGTTCCAGTACAACACTTTATCTGTTTCCTGAGTGATTGAAACAATTTCTGAATTCTTAGTATTTTTGAGACCACAGACCCTTGTGGCAGTCTGTCATAACACATAGTCCCCTTCTCATAGTATTTTTAAATTAATAAATCAGCACAAGATATATTATGAGTGCATAAAAAAACAATATTTACAAAGGATTACAAGAAAAAGAAATTATATTAAAATACATTTATCATTATATTTAAACAATAAATATATGATACCGTAATATGCACCGTTAGTAGCATATTAAATAGTAAGTTCAAACAGCAGGATTAATACAAAATGTAGTTTTGAAGCAGTGATAAGAATAAATGTTATTATAAAAAGAATAGTCACTTTAACAAATGGTGTTGGGTAAACTGGATGTCCACAAGATTGAAGTTAAGCTTCTATATTATATTTAAAACATAATTCACAATGGATTAGAGACCCAAACATAAGACCCTGAAGTATAAAACTCCTAGAAGAAATCATAGAGGAAAAACTTCATGACATTGAATTTGGCAGTGATTCTTGGATATGACACCAAAAGCACAGGCAACATAAGCAAAAATAGAAAAATGGGGATATAGCAAACTTAAAAAAAGTCTGTGCATCAAAGGACATAACCAACAGGGTGAAAAGGCAAGTTACAGAATAGGAGAAAATAATTATAAATCATATATCTGATAAGGGGTTAATGACTAGAAAATACAAAGAAATACAACTCAACACCAACAAAAAAATAAAAATAAAAATAACCTATTTCAAAAATTGGGTAAGGACTTGAATAGATATTTCTGGAAAGATGACATGCCAATGGCCAATAAGATATGGAAAGGTGCTCAGTGCCATGCAAATGAAAACGGTGAACTAGCTCCTCACACTCATTAGAATGACTAATATCAAAACAGTGGAAAATCCCAGGTACTGGTAGCAGGTGGAAAAATTGAAACCCATATACACTTTTGATGGGATTGTAAAACAGTGTAGTTGCTATGGAAAATAATAGTAAGGTGGGTTCCTCAAAAATTAAAAATAGAACTACCATATCATCCAAAAATCCCACTTTTTGTTATATATCCAAAATAATTGAAATCGGAGCTTCAAAGAGTTATATTTGCACACCTATGTTCATAGTATTCTTATTCACCATAGTCAAGGTGTGGAAGCATCCTGAATATTCATTGATGAATGACTGGATAAACAAAATGTGGTCTATACACACAATGGAACATTATTCGGCCTTAAGAAGGAAGGACACCGTGATACTAGATCTCACCAAGACACTGAAAGAAGCAAACTTCAGATGCTCCAGATCCTACAATTTTTCTTTAGCTTACACCAGAAGACACACTCATCCTCTAGTGCTTTCTAAAACCAAAAACCAGCCAATGATCGAAGTGGCACTGTGCGGGAATTGTCAAATTCATAAAAGAGCATTGCATTCACGAACATAATTCCAGGAGTAATTACTTGTTTAAACCAGATGCACTGCCTGTGTTCAAACCACTAGTAAAACTTAAAACTATTTTTTTTAATTTTAATACCTCTTCCATATCTTAATAATTGCCCACTCCTAATAGTGCATGTTGTGCCCCATATAGTTAACTGTTTTAAACTAGAAAATAACTGTCTCAGAAGAAAGTGGAATTAAAACTGATTTTTTAGTTTACGGACTTTTTTATTCCCTCAATGTTAATACATTTACATAAAATAGAAGCACTCTTCTAAGTTTAAACTTTTATACTAGAGTAAAAAAAAAAAGTAGAAAGAAAATTTACCAGCGATGTATTTTAGTACAGCTTTAGTTTATGTCTATTGTACATGCAGATGTATAATTTTACATAAATGCACATATAGAGTTAAATCATTCATAGTCTTTTTAAAAGATTGTTCAAAATAAAGTTTAAGTTAGGGAAATAAAAGAATGTAAAAATATTAGAAAGGATAAATGAATCCATATTAATTCAAAAGATAGCTTTTTGAAAAGATCTGTAACATACAAATAGGTTCTTCACAAACCTCGTATTAAAAAAAAAAGAAGAGCTGAAGATCATTTAGGAATGCAGATGCAATTATTCTAAACAAAATATTATCATAGAACTAATAGCATCTGGGAATGTTTTTGAAAAATAAGAGCAAATAGCAGCTTTGCTGTCTTTTTAATGTTCTTAATGAGAGAGTAAAAACTTGAACCTGGCCCATATCAGAGAGGACCTATGACACTATCTTATGAGAATAAGATTTTCAAGTAAACTGAAATTCATTCCAGAAATTAATTCTTAAGAACATTACAAGGTGCAAGCACAGTGCACCTGTTATCTTGTTTTGTTTTTGTGTGTTTGTTTTTTAGCTTCTTGGGATAAAAGTGCATTAAGTTTCACTTTTTAATTAAAATTTTCACAACATATTTTTACTTTCATTATATGCAATAGCTTTCTCTCAATCTACTATTTTACCAAATAGTATATATGTATATAAAGTTAAAGAAGTGTGATCCTTGCTTTCTAGAAGGCGGAAAGAAATTTTTTAGCAGTACCTTGCCTCAACCCCAGGTGACTGAAAAGAACTCTCTCATAATAGACTGTACACAGTTTATCTCAGTCCTCATGGTCATAATGCATGACATGTACTATTTCATTTTATTACAAATCATATATATATATATATATACACACACATTGTATATGTTATAATGTATATATATAAATTATGTATAATTTATATATATTATGTACATATATAATATAGTGTATATATATATGTTTTTATAAGTACATGAAGTTCACTTGTGTATAAATACATACATGAACATATTTATGTAAATGTGTACACACATACTTACATATACACATATTGGTCTCAGAAGTCTGTAATTATAAGTTAGTTTTCATTTCCCTTTTCCATACGATTCACATAAAATCTGGAATCAATTCCGTAGTCTCCCCACTCTGGCCGCATCCTTTCACTGCCAACCCCAGCCTCTGTTGACAGTGACTCCAGTAACCTCACAGCTGTTCTGGGCCTTCCTCAACTGCTCTGAGACCCACTCTACCCCAATTTCTTCAAAATACAAAT